CTGCTTGACTGAAATTTTCATAACTGCTCTGCTCTATTTCTAGGAGACAAAGTCATCCCGCTCTTTGTTCCACAGTGTGGAGAGTGTAGCTCTTGCGTAAGCCCCAAGGGCAATCTGTGCACTACAAATGAGTGAGTTTCATTGATTATTATTATTCAGGCTATGATTTAGTCACGGGTATTTTTAGTACAAGTCATGGATAGGTCACGGGCAATAAACAAAAAGTCACGCCCCCTGACCTGTCCATGACTTGTACTAAAAATACCCCTAACTAAATCCTAGGTGCTGGCTGGGACACTCCCGCAGATATTGCTGCTCCTGGGCGCGTGGGGTGCTCCAGGGCCCCTCTGTTGCTGGGGGGTGGAGGGGGAGCTCCAGGCCCATGCTAAAGCTGGGGATAGGGGGCGTCTGGGGCCCACCGCCGCTGCTGCTCCAGGCGGGGGGTGGCCCGGGACCCTGCCGACGCTGCTGGGGAGCGGCGGCCTGGTGCGCCACCACTGCTCCCGTACCACTGCTCCAGGGCAGCCTGGGACCAGCATCCTGGGGCTGCCCAAGCAGCGGCTGGTGCGGCTGGCCCCGGGGCCGCCCGAGCACTGGCCGGTGCTCAGCTGCTCCATGCTTCCATGAAAGACTTGCAGCCTTAATTATTATCCTAAGTAATTTGGTATCATTCATGCAAAACTGACCCACATTTAAAATATCAAATTTACCCTTATTTTTGGTTGTCTTTTGAATAGCCTTGGTGCAGTTCGCGGATTAATGAAGGATGTGTGGAAGAAGAGAAAGAACTCACAGGAAGGGGATGCAATGCATGACAGTTCGTTAGCAAGAGTCAGGCTAACCGTAACCCTAATAACGCGAGATTTCTAGAAGCGAGGATTGTGTGAGGTGAGTGGGAAAGAATTGTGTGAGAAGTTGTTGCGACCTTGCGTAGATAATGTGTAGAAAATATTGTATGTAGACTAGAGTCAAAACAAGTGAGAAAAATAAGATATCAAGATGGCCTACGTATAAACAAAATGCAACTGTTGCTTATTATTGTCTGTAATGAAAGGTATAAAGGTTTGCTGTAATTGTTTACCTGTAGAGAGACCTGTTTAGCTCTCTCCCTCTAAGCAATTATTAGAGAAAATAAAGTATCTGACTTGCTGTACCCAAACAAAAAGTGAGAACTCTGTTATTCTCCGACAGATGGCACCACTAGGTTTACCTGCAAAGGAAAACAGATTCATCAATTTATTAGTACAAGCACCTTCACTGAATATACAGTGGTGCACGAGACAGCAGTTGTCAAAATTGATGCAGTTGCTCCTCCGGAGAAAGTGTGTCTGATCGGCTGTGGATTTTCCACCGGTTATGGGGCTGCCCTCAGTACTGCCAAGGTGAGGATTAGCATGTGCGTTTAAAGGACAAGCTCTGTTGTTGGGATAGTGCTGATTATTTGTGTGGGTCTAGTAAAGAGGGCATCAGCCTGAGAGTCAGGAGAACTGGCTTTGCTGCTGACATGCTGTTTGATCATGGCCAAGAAATATCATCTCTTTGTGCCTCCCTTACTTTCCCCATCTGTGAGGCACTTAGCTTTTGTATATAGCTTTTCATCTGTAGAACTCAAAGTAGTAGTATCGCATGTAGGGCTTTCTCTGTTAGTTTGTTAGTTTTTATTTATTAATCTTATGGCTCATTTTTAGGAGTAAATAATCTTGCATTTACTGAATTACGAAAAGGTTTCCTTTCATTTATATTAAATAAATAAAGGCCTTCTATGAAATCATTGGTTCCCTGAAAGCATGGAGTTCTTCAGGGCTTGACAGTTTTCTGTGGCAACAGCTTTCATGCTGCAAAATTGGCCCAGTTCAGGTTTCTTTTTTGGCTATACTTAATGAAAAGTAGAGAGAGGCTCCAACCAACGTCATGGATGTGAAGAGCCCCAAAGTTTATATGGAGGGTTACGAATCCGAATCCCCATGAGTATCTGATTTTACAGCTGGCCTCATCTCCAGAATGGGCTGAGCCCAAAGCCCTAACCTGAATACCCCCAAACACAGAGGGCATGAGAACTCTGGATCTAAAAGCACAGTTTGTGACTTGGGAACATCTCTAATACAAACCTATTCTCAAATGTATGCTGTGGTAGGTTTTATCCAGTTGTAATCCAATGATGGGAACCTATACTTTGAATCGCAAAAATGCTTTCGCCCAATTTACAAGTGTAGTATCCAATACAAGCAGAGCCTAAAATGAAAAGATTTACAAGATCATTCATGCAGTGGAATCACTATACATCACTTGTATTCTAAGAGAGTCTGATGTTTTTATGATTATGCAGGTGGAACGTGGTTCTACCTGTGCTGTCTTCGGTCTGGGAGGAGTTGGCCTCTCAGTTGTCATGGGCTGTAAAGCCGCTGGTGCTTCCCGGATCATTGGGGTTGACATCAACAAAGACAAATTTGCCAAGGCTAAAGAGTTAGGAGCCACCGAGTGCATCAACCCTCAGGACTTCACAAAGCCCATTGAAGATGTGCTGATGGAGCTGACTGGTGGTAATGGTGTGGACTATTCCTTTGAAGTCATTGGACGCACTGATACCATGGTATGTGACCAAAAGATGTAAGATGATGATGTTTATCAACTCCTGTCCAGAGGCTAGTGCAAAATTAATCAGCTGAGAGTTGCTTATCTAGTGTCTTGATGCACTAAGGACCCAATCTGAGGTGCTGAGTGCCTCCTGCAAGGCGTTAAGTGGAAATTCAAAATCGTGGAATCCACATGCCTCACGCTGATATTCTGGGATGGCGGGAGGAAGGTGGGGAGGGGGAACTTTGTAGAAACTTTGAAAAAGAAAATATACTGTCCCCTATGCTGGCCATGTTCAGCTAGGAGGCAGAAAACGCTGAGGGCCTTATTACTCCAGTTTTATGGCATGTAACTCCATTGATCTCTACTGAAATTAATTGAGTTACACTAGTATAAAACTGGTATAACTGCGTGGAGGATTGCATTTACAGAGATTCCTTTGCTTTCCTCTGTTTGGTGTGAGTGCAGTGGTTTTGCCCCCTCGCCCAAGGCAGCAGCATTGGGGTTCACCCCCAATCCAGCAACTCTTTCCAATCTGCAGAAGCATGAAGGCATCTGCACAAAAACCCTGTACAGCCACAGCGGCACCTGGAAGCCGGGAGCCATGCTGCCAGAGAATGCCCTTGTTATCCAGAAACCCCCTTACAGAAGGGGTTCAGGAGCACAGAGCAATAAAGTCGGTAGAATATGGATCAGCGTCAGCCCCCAAAACTTTGGGGGGGGGGGACAGTGCCTCAAAGAGCAGTAGATAGACTCCTGCCTACCCGTGGATCCCAGTCCACCCAGATCCTTCATGGAGAGGCCTTTGCAGGTTGGGTAATAATGGTGAGGAATGATGCCAAGGAGGCAGCACTACCCTCTTTGGCTCCCCCCCCCTATCAATATTTGGTTCCACCAGGCTTTTTGTCCCTCCTCACCTCACAATGGCAGATGGGCTGATACGGGCCACAATATTTATTTGATTTCTCATTGATATCAAAAGGACTTTACAATATTTTCAGTCACGCAACCAATTAACAGCTTGGAGTGGAAGATGATTTCATGACGTTGCTAGTAGATAACTGTCTTTGTCTGATTATAGAGTGTTTCTTTGTTTTAAATCAGACAGCTGCCCTGGCATCCTGCCACATGAATTACGGAACGAGCGTGATTGTAGGAGTGCCTCCGTCAGCGTCACAGATCACCTACAATGCGATGCTGCTCTTCACTGGACGCACCTGGAAGGGGTCTATTTTTGGAGGTATGCACATGAGAAGAAGTGACTAAACTCTGTTGTGTGCTTTTGAAATTCACAGATTCTTGGACCAATTATTTTCAAATTTGGGTGCCATAATTAGGTATCTAAATCCATATTTAGACTCCTGACTAAAGGGTCTGGCTTTTCAGAGATATTGAGCACTGTTCTGCTGATCAGGGAGTATCTTGGGCCCAAGATGGGATAAAGACATTCATGAAACCCTTGTTCATTGTTACAACATTAAGCAGTTATGTAACTGTGACTTGGGGTTTCATGTCAAGTTATCACTGGCTTACTCCCACTGTAACAACCACTGTTAAAAAGTATTTTACACTTTTATTAAAGACACACAGAAGAGAAAGGAAAAACTGTTAAAGCTTTTGAAAGGTAAAGTATTAAGTAAAGCTTTCGTTTGAACAATATCCCTTATTTCCTCTCCCTGTAGCTGTCTTTTATAGGTGGAAACCCTGCTTCGTAGTATTAACTGTCCTTTTACGGGGGGAATGTTATATGGTCTGGAGATGTTGTTGAAGTCCAATCTTGTTTTCTTTAAGACAAAACAA